TCGACCAGGAAGGGATATCCCATACAAGATTTTCACCATTCCGACATCTGACGTCTAATGCTGTATACGTGATCTCATCCATGCCGTTCAGCAGGGAGAGAATGGAGTGCGAGAGGCCGTCTGTCAGCTCACACGACACAATCGTGATCCGAAGCAGGATTGGCGCGAAAATACCCATAAAAAGCATGAATGGTGAATTGGGGTCAAAACGTTCCAGTTCTGGTCGAAACTTTTCGCCCATTAACTCAAAATTGAGCTCGTTATAATGCTTCATCGTTCTCTCCATGGGGATATCAGAGCATGCACACAATTGTGAACAGTTCATATCAGGCTTGTACAGTGGGTTGTAGAGCAGGGTATGCCTGGGGAACACAATCAGCAGGACAGTGAGAGCTAACCCCACTGAACCAGTCCCCATGGGTACGTACTTACGTTGGGTCGTGTTCTGGCAAGGAGAACTGCATTGTCCAGGATCTTTGGGAAAAATATTCAGATATTTAAAAGGGCTCCATGTTTTTTCTCCATATTTTCAAAACAACGATGTGACGTCACTACATTTTTTTCGACGCACTGCGCAATAGTAAAAAAATATGGATCAGATTTATCAAAATGTTGGAAATATATTATCGAAACAAAACCTGGATTCATCAATGAGTACTCACCATGTAGTTTTTAAAAAATCGGAACTCAATGATTAATGTCCCTAAATTTTAGTCCACAGGTTTCCAATCTATGGGTCGCGATCGAAGGGTTCTCAGGGGGTCGCCAACTTGTAGACTAAACCTTACACAAATATTCGTTATGTTGCAAAACTTAAACTTTGGTGTCTTAAAGTTTGAGGAACTTCATTTTTTTAATTCTTAAATTTCGTGTAAACTTTTATGTTAATGCTGGTTAAATTCATTTCAAAACCCTGCATGTTGGAGATAATGAAATTAACTCCTGAAGATTCCAGTGCAGTAATAATTTAATGCATTTTTCTGTCTAATAATGCAATTCGTAGGCGTAGGCTTTATCAGACAGTCATGTCCGTAGATGTTAAAGTACAGTTTTTGAATAAAATCAAACTTTCATCATTGTTTGTTTTCAAGTTTGATGAATCATCCGCTCGTGTTTTCGTCTGCTTGTCTTCGTGAAATCAATTCATTCAGACGTGTCCCTATTTTTTGTGTGCTAGAAACTACAAAAAAATTCATAAAAAACGTTTTAATAACAAGCTTTTATGTAATAATGCACTAAAAAGTAGAAAATAAATTATAGACTACTATTTAAATAACTATGAAGAAAAGCGTGGGTGTCTTCCTTAACATTAGTAAAGGTATCCAATAGATACTAAAGTGACCCACGCTTTTCTTTATAGTTATTTAAATAGTAGTCTATAATTTATTTTCTACTTTTTAGTGCATTATTACATAAAAGCTTGTTATTAAAACGTTTTTTATGATTTTTTTTTCAGTACTTTACATGTTTTATTTACAATAGAGTTACATGACTAAAAACCATTGCGCGCCTACTGAACGTGATGGCGCGCCTACTGAACGTGATGGCGCGCCTACTGAAGGTGATGGCGCAGCTATTGAACGTGATGACGCGTGTGGTGTGGTTGGATAGACATGCCTATTGATTCGGTCCAAAATTTAATTAATTCATAAAAAATTATTTAGGCATCCAATGAAGTCAAATTTAATTTCAGATTGCATTGTCTTCATGTCTTGACCCACGTGCCAAATGTGAATCGTATCGGTCAAGTAGAAGTGTCCGAATTTTCACTCCAGCATTTCGATCTAGACAGACTGGCGACTGACGACAGAGGAAGCGAGTTAAATAAAAGCTTTTAAAAAAAACAAGTTAATTAAAAAAGTCTACTGACATTTATGCGCAATTTCCTTTTGTTATCTAAAAATAGCTCTGACGTATAAGGCTGGGGTGCGTTCAAGCTAGAAGAACGATCGGTTTGTAGGTGTTTATGTAATTTTAAAATTTGTGACCGAACGAGAGGATATTTTTGAAAACTTTCTTCGGCAATATTGTTCTAAATTATGGCAGGAATTGATTGGTACATGTTTCAAGTCGCTAAGTGGTCTGGTTGCCGAGATATGGGCAAAAAACTGAATTTTTTCGAGGTTTTTTGGCTTTTCCGGGAAATACATGAAAGAAACCCGGAATTTTTATAGCCTATGCTCATTCTCGTAACTTGCTTAACATAATTGCTTTTGGAACTAGTCATCGATATTGCTTCGTTGAGGAGGAGATACGACTTAAAGCCCGGACACACATTCATCCATACATTCATTCATTCATCCATCCATTCCCAGAAATGACGCGTTAATAAACGCAATTCTCCAGAATGGAAATTGCGCTAAAAATTCATAAAAAACGTTTTAATAACAAGCTTTTATGTAATGATGCAGTAAAAAGTAGAAAATAAATTATAGACTACTATTTAAATAACTATAAAGAAAAGCGTGGGTCACTTTAGTATCTATTGGATACCTTTACTAATGTTAAGGAAGACACCCACGCTTTTCTTTATAGTTATTTAAATAGTAGTCTATAATTTATTTTCTACTTTTTAGTGCATCATTACATAAAAGCTTGTTATTAAAACGTTTTTTATGAAATTTTTTTTCAGTACTTTACATGTTTTATTTACAATAGAGTTACATGACTAAAAACCATTGCGCGCCTACTGAACATCACGTTCAGTAGGCGCGCAATGGTTTTTGAACGCAGCCATTACGTGATGGCGCAGCTATTGAAGGTGATGACGCGTGTGGTGTGGTTGGCTAGACATGCCTACTAATTCGGTCCAAATTTTTATTAATTCATAAAAAATTAATTAGGCATCCAATTAAGTCAAATTTAGTTTCAGATTGCATTGTCTTCATGTCTTGACCCACGTGCCAACTGTGAATCGTATCGGTCAAGTAGAACTGTCCGAATTTTCATTCCAGCGTTTCTATCTAGACTTACGACTGACGACTGGCGACAGACAGAGGAAGTGAGTTAAATAAAAGCTTGTAAAAAAAAATCATAAAAAACGTTTTAATAACAAGCTTTTATGTAATAATGCACTAAAAAGTAGAAAATAAATTATAGACTACTTCTCGAATCCCTTGAAAACACGAGCGTTACTTCTGTGAGCTTAATGAAGAAATTATATTGTACGTAATTTGTTCTCTGCTTCCATCCATTGATGTTTCCAGCATCCCCCGATTTTTAGCGTTGAGGAGGAGATACGACTTAAAGCTGCGGACACACATCCATCCATCCATCCAGAAATAACGAATTAATAATCGCAATTGTCATTATGGAAATTGCGCTAAAAAGCGACGATAATGGTGTGATAAGTATTTTTTATTTATTTAAAACAATGCGATTGTTGAAATAAAATGTTATTAATCAGCTTCAAAATGCGCCATTTTATTTTTGTAAACGCCAACCTTATGTTATTCAGTTATTCTTAACATTTCACTTCATTGGTTGTTTTCTTTTTTAACGAAAAATAGTTGAAAATCTAGTCTTGCAGAGATTTAAAAACTACAACTTAAAAGACAAGCATTGTCACTTTTTGGTTTGAATTATACCTACAATTCCACAATGGTTTCGGTAGTTCATCATTTCCGAAGAATCATACGTCAAATCCAAAAATTCATTCGGATGTTCATCGAAAATACTAGTTGTACAAACACAAGCAGAGCATAGACTTCATTTCAATGTAGTCCATCAAAGCTTCTTCCTTCAGCGCAGGAAAGTAACGATTGTTTGTTTTTCTCTTTCAAATCTCATGTATTTCACCTGCAAAATTATCAACCACTTCGTAGTTTTCCAGAAATAGCAATGTTTGTCACTGCACCCCTTAACCTCCAACCCTTGATAAAATTTGGTTTCTTCCCCTGAAGTTGTAAACCTACTATTTTGTAACACTGATGTTAAATATAGCTGCTAGATAATGGCACTGCTATCATGTAAGCATTGTTGTTGAACAATACCAAAACTATTCAAATTATAGTGCCAAAACTTAACTCGGGGTTACGTTTATCTGACTTGAGAAATGTTGTATTGCAAGCGGACACAACCTCAAGTGTGTGTTTAAACTACCAGTTGCCAATCTCATCAAGTAATAAAAGCAGGAAAATGGAATTCTGTGGACCTTCATACAATAGTGTACCTAGAGTAGATGGGGGGCTGATGTTTCTAAGCGTATTCCCCTTCTTAGATCTGTCCAAGTCTATGGACAGATACTTTGTATTTGTTTTATTTTCCACTATTCAGTAATTCGTTCTAAATTAAATTAATACTAGATCCATTCATACATGCTTCGGCTAAAAATATTTGTGTTAAAACCAGATTACTAGTTTGCTACTAAATGACAGTTGTCTGCCTCTTCTTCGTAGCCAACAGTTCAAACTCTCCGGCGAGCTGATCTCTAGTAGTATTTAATCTTGTTACCTCCCCTTTTAAAATTGAATATAATTTTAAAATCCCGATTCAAGGATGGCGTACCCTGGTAAAAGTATGTCTTTTCTATATACATTATTATTCGTTCGGAGTGGGGGGTAGACGTGCTTCGCTCCCCCCCCCCCCCTTCCGAAGAGATGCCTGAAAGAAAGAGTGCACCCTCCCCATTACCCTTACCTAGATTCACAATGGTAGTGCTATGTAATTCTTTGCAGATTTTAAATGACTTTTTAAAACACAGAATATCTTGGACGTCACATCCTAGGGTAGTGGGTATGAGGTTTCTGAACGTGTGCTACATGGGGAGGGGGAATTGGCGTTAATGTATTGTGACTTCATGTAAACTGTTTGAATGAAAGCAATGAATTTCTTTAAATTTCATCTGGTGGGGGTGGGGCGTGGTAACTGCTTTTTGAAATACTTCCAACTAAACATTTTTTAATGCATTTTTCTATATCATTTTTCTTTTTATAAAATATTCTAAAGAGCATTTATTTGGAGGTAATTTTGACAAAATTACAAACAAAACAAAAATGATCGATTTGCGTATTTTTAAGCATTCATTTTTATATTAGGATTGTGGTTTTGAATAAAAAGGTTCTAGAAAATATACAAGATAATTTTACACATTAAAACAAATTGAGCCATTTCACCCACAACATCGCAGGCTATCCAACACAATCAAAACTATCTGGCCATTACAAGAGAACATGTAATGTTTGGACAATTCACACTTTATATTTTACCCTTTCGTCCGACTCATAGTCATCCTAATGCTTGTAACATTCTAAAATAATTTTATACAGCAATATCAGTTTGGTTTGACAAATTTCACAGAACATCTTTAACATATTTTTTCAAAGTTCTCAATCTGTCCGTTTTGATTTTATCCCAGATGGCTATGTCAGCAATGCCCAGAGATTTGATTTCTTCCTCGTCTTCATAAATATCCGGGTGAGAGGTTAGATATGAACCTTGACTTACCGAGCTGGCACGTTCTCCTGGATTTGTTTCTTCATGTGACTGACCAGTTTCCAAACTACTGGACATCTCCTCACTGGACAGTAAAGTGACCAAACTGCCTTGTCGTTTGATGTTCTCGTAATCATTTTGTGTGTTACGCCTGAGACCTGTCCGTCGAGCAACCGTTTGTTTATTGACCCAGTGCAGCGACACAAGTTTACTGTCCGTGGAAGCCAATGCTGCAACAGATTTGACCAGCGGTGAGTGCTGCTCACTGTTAAGACTTGTTGAAGATTTTGTCCTGAGTCGAGTTTGAGGGGGTTCATTTTTACTAGCTGGGTGTCGCAGTAGGGGCAGTTGTAGAGTGAAGCCAGACATCTCTGGTGAACTTTCAGGGTCAGACACATAGCTTAAAGGGAGAGAAAAAATGCCACCACAGTTGGTTCCCACCACTAAAACATCTTGAGATATAAGCAAGCTGGTCGCTGTCAACTTCTCCAGTTCTTGAAATGGTTTGGAGGGGATGGGTGGAGGGCTTGTTTTTCTTGGTAAACTTCTAACCACTCGTGATGGAGGAACAGGGGGGCCCACAGAATCAGCTCGTGATGGAGGAACAGGGGGGCCCACCGAGTCAGCTCGTGATGGAGGAACAGGGGGGCCCACCGAGTCAGCTCGTGATGGAGGAACAGAGGGGCCCACAGAGTCAGCTCGTGATGGAGGAACAGGGGGGCCCACAGAATCAGCTCGTGATGGAGGAACAGGGGGGCCCACCGAGTCAGCTCGTGATGGAGGAACAGGGGGGCCTTCAGAGTCAGCTCGTGATGGAGGAACAGGGGGGCCTTCAGAGTCAGCTTGACTTGAGCTAGTCACTGCTGGTTTAGGAGTAGTCTGAGCATTTTCTGGTGGTGCTGATAAGCCTTTGTGGTGAGTTACTATGGAAATGTTTTCACTACTGACTTCTGATTGTTTTTCTTTAACCTGTGACAGGTGTCTGTGAAAATTGTTGGCCGCACTTTCTGATCCAACCCTTCCAGAGTCCAAGAACTGCATCGGGTTGTTTGTGCACACCTCATCAAGCTTCACAGTATCCCGGAAAGAGTTCCAGGTAATTGAGAAATTGAGGACAACCTTTTTAGTGTTGACATCTACCTTGACAAGACAGGAAGTTTCTTCCAGACTGCACCAAAGAGCTTCAGACTCCGCAACCATAGACTCTATTGGCTCATAGATGTGCAGGCACAGAGCTTTTTGTAAGCACAGCATACCAGTCTGGGAAATTTTTGGTGTGTATATTCCCTTGTCATTAGATTCATGCATCACGGAGAGGAAATAAATCTTCATACCACAAGCAACGGTTATTAAGTTAGCATCAACAGAACAAATGCTTGATATGGGAACGTTGTTGTTTAGCTCCAGTGTGGTGATGGCTGGGACTGGAGATTTCTTATGTGGGTTGTAGTACACCACAACACTGCCATTTGACAGCCCAACTAGCACGAAGATGGCATCCTGGACAGAAGTTTCAAGAGAGATAACTCTAAATACAAAAGATGATTAATACTCAAGAAAAATAACTCTAAATACAAAAGATAAGTATTCAAGAAAGATAACTCTAAATACAAAACCTGATTACTTATCATAATAAATCAATGACAGACTTTTTTTCTATCCTATTTTCAAGTTCTACTAATACTAAACTATTTAAATTTAACATCACTTTTTATCTTATGAATAAGATATGTACTTTTATTTTTATCGAAGTAATTTACTTGGATGTACCTGTATGTCTTGTAACTTGTGGGTTAGAATTTTTAGAGGCTCCACCTGAAAATGGTTACCTTGACCCACTTCTATTTTGCTTCTGTTTCCTCTGGCTATTATTTCTAAATAATTCAGTTCCTGTTTGATTCAATAGTTTTCTTCATTTATATCAATTTTAGGGCGTTTAAAATTCTTAAGTCTAGCATTCATTTCTATTCTTTATGAAATTCTAAAAATATAAACATTTTAATTAAAATTTTACTTAAGTTATAATCCAAGTATAATTTTTTTCAAATATTACTCAAAAAACCTCAATATTGATTATTTGTTGAGTTTACAAACCTGACAAGCTAGCCAGATTTTTGAACCCACTTTTTGCATGGAGATGACCTTTTTGCCAGGCGCCTGGCACCTGTAGACACTGTAACAGGATGACTCAACATCGTACACACTAAACATCCGCAGCTCCGGGGGCCCACACTCACATATCCACACACCCCACCTGCCTGAGGTCTGCGGATAAAAAGTTATCCAGAGTTTCATTCTGTTATACACAAATAAATGAGTTAACAATTAAGTTACAATATCTTATTTTTTTCTTCTAAAGTTTATGAGCCTCAAGAAAGTAAAACATAAAATTAAGACTATCAAAAATTATAAAACTTCAATAGTAAACAATGCAGTATTTTTAAACGTTGCCCTGAATTTTAAAAGAAAGTCAACAAACCTCACAAGCATAGATACAAGTCTAGCCGACAAACCTCACAAGCATAGATACAAGTCTAGCCAACAAACCTCACAAGCATAGATACAAGTCTAGCCGACAGACCTCACAAGCATAGATACAAGTCTAGCCAACAGACCTCACAAGCATAGATACAAGTCTAGCCAACAAACCTCACAAGCATAGATACAAGTCTAGCCAACAAACCTCACAAGCATAGATACATGATATTTTCCAGTCTGGTCCCTTAGAGTCCAACCACAGATTATCATGCAGAAGTAAAAATTGATCAGCCTTCATCTGTTTCATAATTTCTTCAGAAGTTGGGCGGCTCTCAGCAGACAGGTTCCAGCAATCAGGCATTAAATTCTCCAGGTAGGGGAAGTTACACTTGATCTCATAGTCCTACAATGTAGAAAAATTGATTATAGTTTGATTGTACTAAAAATTAATAAGTTACACTAGTACTTTTATTTATCAGCACTATAAAAAATTCAAAACTTTTTTTTAGAAATCAAACAATATATATTATTTTGTTGCATTTTAACAATTTTCTTTTCTACTTAGAGTAGTTATAAGACATTATGTCAGATGTTATTAGTATAATTTAGAGACTGGAAACATTACAAAATTGTAAACATTTCATTGTATTTAACTGTTGAATAAAGATAATTATTTCCAAAATGGACATACTCTGATGTGAGCTGGCCTTGTGTGTTTGCTAATTTTAGACAGCATTGGAGATTCTTTGCCCACTGGTGTCACACCTGTTAGCACCTCCAGCATCACAATACCAAAGGAATAAATGTCCACCTGTTACCAAAATAAAATGTTATTAAAATATAAATGTCCACCTGTTACCAAAATAAAATGTTATTAAAATATAAATGTCCACCTGTTATTAAAATATAAATGTCCACCTGTTATTAAAATATAAATGTCCACCTGTTATCATAATATAAATGTCCACCTGTTACCAAAATAAAAATGTCCACCTGTTACCAAAATAAAATGTCCACCTGTTACCAAAATATAAATGTCCACCTGTTATCAAAATATAAATGTCCACCTGTTACCAAAATATAAAATGTCCACCTGTTACCAAAATATAAAATGTCCAACTGTTATCAGAACCAAAACATTGTTTATAAAACTTTAGCATGTCAAACAGCTGAACTGATGGTATTAATAACATGCATATAGGGATTAAATTGTTACAATTGTAGGTAAATGACACACTTTTAAAAATCTACCCCCCCTATAATTACAAAAAGTCAGACCCCCCCTCGCTAAATTGAAATAGCTATTTATTGTTTTTGAAACAACCGTTTCTCTCAAGTGTAGAACTGAACTAGGTGACCTGCCTTGGATGTGTAGGCCAGCCGGTCCATGACCTCTGGAGCCATGTAGCCTGGGGTACCAAACAGGCCGCTCAGACCTTGGAGTGTTGAAAACTTGGAGATGCCATAATCCGAGAGCTTGACATTGATTGGTGCATCCACATCCAGTGACATGACCAGGATGTTGTCGGGCTTCAGGTCGCGGTAGATGATGTTGCAGCTGTGCAGGTAGGACAGACCAGAACATACCTGGTGGTGCAGTAGGAAAATTATGGTGTGTAAAAGGTTTTGTTTTTTTAAGAGCGTTTTGGTTTTTTTATATCCTGATACACTGAAAATATGAGCTGTAAAATTTAAGAACAACCAATATTTGAACAAAAATCAATTAAATATTAGCTACTTATAATCTGTTATAGGTTACTTGGTTAATAAAAGCTATAATAAATAGAATCAAACCAATATTTTCAATAAAAATAAATTAAATATAAGCTGAAGAAATCCTTACTTGGAGCAGTATCTTGTATGTTAAGTCTTTACCAAATACTGTCTGAGAGATAATTTTGTGTGTGGAGTCTAGGACCTGGGTTTCTTTTAGTTTGGATCTCAGACTGCCCATAGGTGCCAGTTCCATGACTAGCAGCAGCTGCGGCCTGACACAGACACCTACAAATGCCACGATGCATTTATGTTTCAGTTTGCTCAGCACGCTTACCTCTCTTCTCACATCAGAAAATGCTAGGCTGATCTGAAACATGTAAATACAACAATCAATTTTTGCTGATCTAAGCCTTGCGGATACAACAGATCAATTTTTGTTGATCTGAAACATGTAAAGAGCTGAAAATTTACTGATCTTAAATATGTAAATAGAACTTGGGACAAAAAATATAGTTCAGGAACAGTAATACACTTGGTTTGCAGTGATTACCTTTCTTTGTTCAGTTTCCATTTGGTCTTTTTCTTGCCTTGAGAATTCTTTGCCATTTTCGAAGCATGCGACATTAGGATATATGGAGTCATCAAACATATCCTCTAGGGGTTCCATTGATGGTCTGTGAAATACTTTGATGGCCACTTGCTCACCTTTATGGGTACCCTAAAATAAAAGACTGAATTAATGACCACTACTATTCTATAGATATAAATTGCTGACATTAAATTGACAAATGACCACTTGACACTACCACATAAGTAAAACAACACTAAGGATGAAATCAAATGAGCAAACAACATTTTTTTTACCTTCTGTACTGCCCCAGCCATGCCATGTCCAAGTTTTGTGTCAGATAAGATCAAATTTTCAGATGAAATCCTAAACTCTTGTGGCAGTTCCAGGAAAAGGAACTCAGGTACCAGCTGTTCCAGGGATGAAGGTCCTTTAAGGCAAGTCACATGTTCCTTCCATAGCACCATCTACATATCCCGTATAAAATATTTTAAAATAGTTTAATTACAAATTTAGGTACATTTAATTTAATTACAAGACTGAAAAGCTAAAGAAAATGTTGCACCTGTGCACAGTCCCTGACAGAAAAATGGAGCTGTTGTGTGGAGATGAAGCCAGAAAATGGTTGAACATCCTGGTAACAGTGCGGGCATAGAGCATAGGGCTTCATCTCTGCTTCTGTGGGATCTCTGAACTCTGCACAGGTTGGGTACAAGGTCAGTGTAAAGTTCAAGGTCTTATTACAATTAAATATTTATTTGGATTGCTAGGTGAGGTTTAACAAAGTCAGCAGAAATCTTTGCTAAGGCCAGATGTGAAGTGACAGCTAATATAACAAATAAGTCAAATCCAATTTTCCTGTGACCTACACAGTATAGTCACAGTCCTTTTTTTACTGTGTTTTTTATAACTATTTTTTTTATTGTAAAATATAAATATTAATGGATGATTAGGAGATTCTGTACAAGAAAAGACAAGTAACAAGAACCACATCTCAATTATCAAAGAAAGCTAACTCCTACTTGGATAAAAGAGCTCCAAAATCTCCTCCAACTCATCCTGTACAATCCCAATGACTGCAAGTTTCTTGAGGTTTGCCTCATGGCTGCCTAGCTGGCTGCTCCCTGTTGTTTGAACTATGACTAGGATGGCAAGTTCTGAGCTTTCATCACTAAAACATATATTGTGCCATTTTTACACACACAGTATACCACAGACAATTTAAACTATCAGTTTTTCACCCTCTAAAATTAATTTGAAACCATTACATTTTTTGTGGCAGTATTAATATGTTGTGACAGGATAAAAATGTGAATGTTACAGTATAAGGTCCAAACTAGAGAAGTGCAGCAACTAAAACCAACCTGGACTCTGCTTGACACTCCACCTCTTCCACTACGACATAACCCTGATCATGGCTGATCATAATCCCAGTCTTCCAGTACTGTATGTTTTTGTTTAAAATATGAAGACCCTTCAAACTGTGAGAAATTCATGACAAATTTTTAAGATAAGAAGACCCTTCAAATTGAGGAATGTGTGAAAAAATGTTAATAGACCTGTTTAACATACCTAATGAAAAAAAAAAAAACACTTCCAATCATGTTAAGTTATCCAGGTACAAAGCATTTCTTATACAGAATTCAGCCTATTGGTAACTACTTGCTGATGTTGACAACAGGACACCCAAGAATGCTGTATTATAAGATAAAAATAGTAAAGTGACCTGTGACCTCACCTTGTCCTGGTGCCAATCTTAAAGGAGGTCATCCTGTTTTCAAGTGACCCACTTAAGCGGGGTCTGTGGTCCCCCACATTCCATTCTGAGGTTGAGAATCGTTCAAAGGCAGCAATGAGTTGAGAGATCACATGACTCCACAGTGGTGTTGGGATAGCGGACATCCTGTAAAGGCGGATGGCTCTACAGCCCCCAACATGGGGGTCTAGTTGGATCTGAGGGGGTTGGCTTGGTAACAGAGACGGCACAATTATGCTGAAAAATGTAAAAAGGTACAATTTCAAACCAGCTAATAGTGCACATTTTAGTTGAATGGAAAAATGGATTACATTGATTTCAAAACCAATTTTATATGATGAAATTCATAAAATACATATTAATTTTAAAAATCTGAAGTTTTAAACAGATAAACAGTTTTTCAGAACAGAAATAACAGAAATAAACAAAACAAAACAGATCAACAACTATATAACATTGCCTATAGTACTAATGTGTAAATAAAATATCCCTACATTTCATTTTTTTTGTTGTCTATAATTCGAACACCAATGTTAAAAGCTTCCAGGAGATGAAGAAAGGCTGTGAAATATTGCTCAGGTAAATGGTCCCTCAACGTTTGTCTCACGTCTGCAATAGTCAACTGCGCCTGGGTGTATTTTCCCTTTGATAATGACTGAACCGTTTGGGAAAGTGGAAGAAAGGTGGAAAGATTAATGACCATCACTGATATTACATCTTAGTTCATCAAATGTTCATACAATAAATAGTGTTGTAGCTGATTAAATAAACTTCATAAATGTAAAAGTAATGTCTTAAGGTACTATACTTTGTAAATATAATTAGAAAATTACACTTAATAAAACTATACTTGATTAAATAGTGAGATACTGGTTTTTTGAAAAACATCCAAATATTCTGGGTAGGTAAGGTAGGTAGCCAGAGCAAAGATAAAATCCCAGTGTCCATGTCTTTAAAAGCACCTGGAACATACCTTTAAAAAAGTACTTAGAATGTTAAACAGCCAGGTAGGATTTAAGAACACATAGTTTGACAGCTCCCCTCTATAAATATTGTAGTTGAGCAGGGCACCAACTTGCAGCAAATATTCATGCACTGAAAGTGACAAATTTCAGTGAATAAAATAATAATCTTTCTATCAAAGGGTTTTAAAACAATTACATATAAAAATAAAATACTTAAAAAAAACTTTTTAAAAAACCACGTTTTTCTTGTGGACTAAAAAGTAGAAAATAAATTTTTCTTTCTACCCTAGGGGATCTACCAATGACTGCTCGTAGATTTTGTGCTTCCTCGAGCTGTGCAGGTTCTTGTGATGATTGTTCATACATTTGATGACAAAAAACGTGGGTATGTTCACCATCAAATTTCCAAAATTCGTGTGTTGTGTGCTTTTCGCTTTAATCATAAATCTGCCCGACCCACGTTTTTTGTCATCAAATTAAGTTTTTTTAAGTATTTTATTTTCTCCTTTTTATTCCGTTGCTACACATGAAAAACGTGGTTTTTAAAAAGTTTTTTATATAGTTTATTTTCTACTTTATCTAATGACTTGATTAGGTATGACTTGACTAAGTGTTTATAAATACACGGACTAAAAATCTTGAGCGACTGATACGCTTTAAACAGAGAAAGGGCGTAATTTAATTAAGCCTACATGCCGTGACCAGGATTCGAACCTGGGTTGTCGTGGCCACAACGCGAAGTACTAACCACTATACGATCACGGCCAGCGCGCTCACATCGATTGGGGCCGAAGTAACTGTGTCAATAGGCCTCCAGTCTTGTCGGTATGTTTAGAAATCATGTCCTCGATTTTATGGTCCTTGGGGCGTAATTTAATTAAGCTAATTTAGGTCTTTAATTGCTAGTTTTTATGATTGCATCTGAAATTGTTAGGCGAAAATAGTTTGCATTCCAAATTTCAGATCTCTAGAGCAATCAGAAGTGGTCTAATTTTCGATGTCAATTTTAACAACAAACATCCAAACAAACGCGAAGCTGAGTTAAGAAAAACTGGTTAAAAAATAAACATGATGAAATTCATGAAATGTTAGGAAAAAATCTATATATCTGGGCATAGGGTTTTCATTTTTACATTGCTACAACTAAGTCTCTACCCAACTCTACAGTATTGCCACGCAATCTATCCAGCCACTCTAAGTTAATCCTAACCACAACTTAACTGTAATGTCAGATTAAGCTTTGTTCTTATGTCCATTCTTAAACAAAAATCCAAAAATCCAATACTGATTTAGTATAAAATGAAAAATAAACAGAACAGACATATTAAGAAATTTCAATGGGAAATAAAAAATGTTCTCTTACTTTTCAAAATTTCATTTGGTTTAAGTTTAATACTTTAGAGTGTATGGTGTAAACAGATGAGAAAATACTACTACCTACTCTTTAAATGGAGATCTATTCCATCTTCTAAACTTTCTTTGCTACATCCCACAAGCCGTAAAAACTCATCTAAAGTACAAATATTGTGTTCACTCCTCAAATCTTTTGTTTTCCTGGCTATTTCTGTGAACACTAATGGTATCTGTCTCTCCTTCAGTGGATGTTCCCTTTCAAATGTTGCATCCCTCATATTGTCAGCTGCGTCATAAATTCCTTGACGCAGCGTCTCAACAGAATCCGCGCTGTCAATGATAACAGAAAAACATTTAGCCTTTATCCGTTCCTGCTTGACTTTCCTCTGTAGCTCCAGGTCCACATTGGCTGCGTCCATGGTACGTGACAGTAAGAAGACAATAATAATTTCTGGTCTCAGCACACAAGCCTGGGGAGAGATAAAAAATTATATATATATATATATATATACTTTTAGGCTAAAATAAAATAAAATTGTTTTAAATTCAAGAATAAATATATGATTAATATAGTTGTATTAAAATAATGTTTGCTCTTGGATTTTTAAAGCTTTCAATAAGATTGCTCTCCCTTTAATTTCATCCTTACCTGAATAGAAGAAATTCTTTCAGCCACTGAGTGCAGGTTGGTCCCACTGTTGACAACATCATGGATGATGATGTACAGGGAGTTCAGAGTTAGGAAGCAGGACTGGATAGCAGATGTATCGCTGGATTCTGGGAACTCCCAGATGTCAAAGGTCAAAGTTCTCTTAGGTCCCTGTATTATTCAGTAAAAATTTTCATAGTTATTCATCATTTTTATTTTCATTTACAGTGTTTACAATAATATTTTAAGGTGAAAAAGCATAAAACCTACTGGACCTAGAGTGGAGAATAACTTAGGACCTGGACTTAGCTGCAATTGGGTGATTGTCATTGTCTGAAATACAATGTCAGTTCATACATGTGCAATGGAAAATATACACTTTAAAAATTTCTAGTTTTACATTTTTACAGACTAGTCAGGAAAAATATTTAATAAGATTCTCACTGTATGGTTGATGCTGTCTGTTTCTTTGTTGTTGAGCAGTTTTTGTACAAGACAGTGACCACCTGTATTCTAGAGTAAAAGAAACGTCCATCTCTAAAACATCTGACACACATTAATTTACAGCGTTCTATTCTAAATCAGTTAAATTCTTTTATAAAATAGTTAATAAAACTTAGGTGTTTTAAAGCAAAAAATTTCTTAAAAGAAAAATGTTTAACTAAGTTGACTTATATTTACCTTACAGCCAAAAACTACAAGTTTCACATTTGAAAATGGAACACACTTTTTATACTTTCTTTCCAAATAAGCAATAATGTCTTGATTACTCTGGTCTTCTAAATTTAAGAAAAAAATAGGGTTATGAGTTGTTTTTTAGAACTAATAAAACATTATAAAATCACCTTTGTTCAATTATATCATTTTACAATAGTATTTAGGACATAATAACATGATTAAACATTTACCAAATGATTAGTTTTATCTTAAACAAACAGTTTATAAAAATTTAAATGTTTATTATTTATTTTAATTTTAACTTTTCAAAAAGTAAAAATAAATAAATTATAATTTTGATTTAGATCCAATAATATAACTAAAATTTAACAGTCTTGAAATATTAACTGGATTCAGTTAGAAAATAATGGTTAAAAAGTAATAAAATACAAATAGATTAAGTTATACCACAAGTAAAATGTTAAAAATACAAATAGATTAAGTTATACCATGAGTAAAATGTTTTAAAATACAAACTTGATTCAGTAACTAAGGCTTGCAGGTTCCTGTCTTTCATGACCAGACCATCTAACTTTAAGAGAGACAACTTCTTCAATAGCCCCAGTTCTTCAGGCAGACTCGTTAATTCAGGGTTACTTGGTGAGACATACAGAAAGCCAAGAATATTTGGAAAATTATAATTGGTTGAGATTATTTGTTATCACACATAAAAGTAAAGAATAGTTTTAAAATATAATGGCTTCTGATTATTTAACATTGTAGTATTATTAAAACCAGACTATGCTTAAAAATATTCCCATCAAATAAGGTACACTTGCATGCCAACAGTTTATTTAATTATTGTATTTTTACTAAAAATCCAGTACGGATAAATTCAGTTAAAGTCAACTTACAAACTTAAATCCAGTACGGATAAATTCACTAGCAGGCAAACACCCTCGGGCACCTCAGTTAAATTATTTGATGGCAACAATAATTCAATCAAATAGTTGGCCAGTTGAGATCCAGGAAACTGGAACGTTCTAGCTTGAGTCTTGTTTCTGTAATAAATTATTTGATAGCAACAATAAAGTCAATTAAATTGTTGGCCAGCTGAGATTCAGCTTCTGAAGTTGTATTTGACATAAGATATAACTGAATCAACTTACAAAGAAACCATCTTCTGAAATGGTGTTTGACATAAGATATAGTTAAACCAAGTTACAATGAAACCATCTTCTGTAGTGAAGTATGAATTAAGTTATAGTTAAACCAACTTACAAAGAAACCATCTTCTGTAGTGGTGTGTGAATTAAGTTATAGTTAAACCAACTTACAAAGAAACCATCTTCTGTAGTGGTGTGTGAATTAAGTTATAGTTAAACCAATTTACAAAGAAACCATCTTCTGTAGGTGTATCTGACTTCAGATATAACTGAATCAACTTACAAAGAGACCATCTTCTGGAGTGATGTTTGACTTTAGATATAACTGAATCAACTTACAAAGAGACCATCTTCTGGTGCGATGTTTGACTTCAGATTTAACTGAATCAACTTACAAAGAGACCATCTTCTGAAGTTGTGTGTGAATTAAGTTATAGCTAAACCAACTTACAAAGAGACCATCTTCTGTAGTTGTATCTGACTTCAGATATAACTGAATCAACTTACAAAGAGACCATCTTCTGAAGTTGTGTTTTCTGTGGCTTCAGCCCCAGCAAGTTGTTGCCCAACATGAGAGTGGTTAGATGACAACACCAAATGTGGGCCACAGGTGCAACTCGAATTTGGTTGTGAGATAAATCCAGGTAGTGGAGCTTACCTGAAAGGTAGAATAACAATCACAGTCAGTGAATAACTCTTTCTGGCTCCACAGTGCCAAAAAATGTCAAAGGGAATCTTATTCTGACAAAAACACAAAATGTCAGTGACTTACACATTCTGACAATACTCTCTCCAACTTCTGTCAACTGATTGTTGTTAAGTTTTAAAACTTTTAATGTCTGGCCCCAGAACTGGTCAGCGCTTGGTGTGAAAGCCTGCAACTGGTTGTGGGAAAGGTCAAGGTTCTCCTGCAGTAAAAATAAAATAAGAGTAGGCCCACATGATACAAGAGTGAATTCCCTTTACTCAACTAATGTCAACAAATCATTAACTTCTGCCATGTTTTAATCAATTAGTGAAGCCTAAATTTATGTTAAATTAAAATTAATAATGATTACATTTTATATTCAGCTTCATAAATGTACTGGAGTTAAAAAGTACAAACCATTCTGAGTTAAAAAGTACAAACCATTCTGAGTTAAAAAGTACAAACCATTCTGAGTTAAAAAGTACAAACCATTCTGAGTTTAAAAGTACAAACCATACTGAGTTAAAAAGTACAAACCATTCTGAGTTTAAAAGTACAAACCATACTGAGTTAAAAAGTACAAACCATTCTGAGTTAAAAAGTACAAACCATTCTGAGTTAAAAAGTACAAACCATTCTGCACTGCCAGGGTGAACAAGAGTGAATGATCTGATTGTGACTAGCAGTCAGAGTTTTCAGCAAGTGACAAGCTTGGATGCCAGAAGGAAGGGAGGTAATCTGGTTGTGACAAACATCAAGCTCCTTTAATTTTGTACACTTCCACTTTGTGCTAGATGAAACTGGACAAATGTATTTTAAAAAAGAATAGTTAAAGGTTATTAAAAAAATAGTATCTTTAAAAAATGTTTTTTTTATAATATATCTTTTTTCAAATATTTTCTACTATAGATGACTAGTAATATAATGGTGTGTCTATATAAAAAGTATGTAAACTTCTGTTCTAAAAGTGAAAAGAATGAGATAAAGTTTTAATGAACTTTTAATTAAGCTCAAGTTTTTAAAGGGGTAACTTGATATCACTATTTTTCTTTACATATTTAATAATATCTGAGATACACCTAGGGGTTAAGCAGAAAATAAGGCTAAAAATGAGAGAAACAGTGATTTAAATATGTATATATATATTAAAATGCACTCTGTTTTGTGTTTCTTGGTATAAATGAATGTGTTTTGTTTCCATGAGGAGTTATAAGTTCTCTATGCTTAATTTAGTCAATTAATAATTTTGTAATGGCAAAAAAAAAAGCATACTCTCGTCATCTCCCAAAGTTTTTAGAGAATTGTGGGCCAAGTTTAGGTATCTCAGGCAGGGCAGAGAAAATATTTCAGGTGAAATTGACTGTAGGTTGCACTTAGAGACATCTAGCGATGTTAAACTGAGAATAAAAAAGTTTGTTGTTAGCAAACACTTCAAAATTACTTGGTATACACTGAGCACCTAACTATATGCAGAAACTCTAAGCTCTTTTTGTTTGTTGATTTAATAAAAAAAACAAAATTAAAATTTTTTTAAAAGTTAAATTTAGAATGACCTGCTATCATTTAACACAGATCTATCAATGGGCGTAGCAATGTCCCTTAAAGGATTCTCCGATATATCTAATACAGTAAGACCTGGCAGGCCCCACAGAACACCATCTGGCAAATGAGAAATTCTGTTCTTTGATAAGTTGATTTCTATCTTCAGCTCAGGGTCATGCTCATCATTGACTTGGTCAGACAACTTTCTGAACCAATTGGGAAGAATTGCCTTGATGTTGTGGTCTATCATTTCAAACTGCGACAGAAATCTTATTGTAACAAACAGCAGACTACTGGACATTTATAAATCATAACAAACAGCAGACTACTGGACAATTATAAATCATAACAAACAGCAGACTACTGGACAATTATAAATTATAATAAACAGCACACTACTGGACAATTATAAATCATAACATATACAATAATCTTAAAAATATTCAAATTATGGTATAAAATTCTAAGTTTAAATCTTTTTTTTTTTGGCTGGTTTCAGTCTTTGAAATATGTGCAATAAAAGTCCTTCATTTCATTAGTATTTGATAATTACTCAGTGTGATCTGGCATGATTAGTGTCTCAATGGTTCCCTAAACAAAGTTGAACGTTAACAAAAAAAATTTTATTAGTTTAATTGTATGAACTGGATAATGTATAATTTGTATATTGGATTATGTGTAAGAAAATGCTATGGATAAATTTTAGTCTTTTATGATATTAGATTACTTTTTTTTAAAAATCTGTTAACTTTTTTCATCAGCACATTTAGACAAATCATAAAAAATTAACAACACACATTTCCAATAAAAAGTCTAGCATAGATATTCTTTTTTTTTTAAATCATATATACTTTGATTTACAATTAAATATCACTATGACTCAACAACTCCACTTGAAAGTTACATACTTTTAAAAGTCCTCTCAGATTAGAAATCTGAAATTTAGTTTGCACAAGAAGGGAGGTAAATTCTGGAAACTTCTCACACAACTCTTCAGTGATGGAGGCCTTTCTTTCAATTAAAAACCAAGCAACATTTAAATGGTTTCCTGAAAGACAATTTTAGATTTGATTTTAAAATATACATTGCGGGACATAGAGTCAAAATACTTAAATTTTTGAAAAGTTTACTAACGCCATGAAAAAAACAGTAACATTTTTAAAGATTTACTTACTTTCGCAGGCAGAATAAAGTGGATACATAAGCTCACAAGCTTTTAAAGTTGGAACATAATCTATGACATTGTTAAAGTCCATCTGCGGGGAAAACCATTTGTGTACAACATCCATGTTTCCCCCAGTGCAAGCAGCATACATGAGTTTGTAGATTGTAATATCATCTTTGATCAGATCTGAAGGAGCAAAGAGTACATGGTATATCATCTTTAATCAAATCTACAAAGTGTTCATGGTAATATCATCTTTAATCAAATCTACAAAGTGTTCATGGCATATCATCTTTAATCAAATCTACAAAGTGTTCGTGGTAATATCATCTTTAATCAAATCTACAAAGTGTATATGGTAATATGATCTTTAGCAAAATCTGTCAAATCATCTGTGACATATTAAAAATTACCTACCTAAATATGCCTACAATTTAAAAAATGCAACTGTGGTTTTATAAAAAAAATATCCTGAAGATTTACCTGGAAGCTTGTCAAGTAGAAAGTTCAGTATTTTGATATGACCATTTAGAGAGGCTAAATAGAGTTCACTGTCCTCATCCCAAGCAGGTTTGCTAACTGTGGCACCATTTGCCATCAACATTTCTACCAAATCTACGTGTCCATACAGGCAGGCCAGCTGAAGACATGTTTTCTGGAATGTATGAAATAAGTGTCTTAATGAGACATGTTTTCTAGAATGTATGAAATAAGTGTCTTTACGAGTTCATTTAAAATTGTCTAGGTTCAAAGGTTGGTGACCTGCAAGTCTTTAACTAGAAAATATAAGTTGCTTAAGGCATGTAATACCTGAGTTCACACCTAGCACTAACAACAGACAGGTGTTGTTTACAGAGATTAGAGACTTACCTGGCAACATGGCAATACATTTACACACTGGGCTAACCAATACTGATCTGGCCACATCCTAATTTGGCCATTTATTGCTCTAATCACACTTATCTGGCCACATCCTAATTTGGCCATTTATTGCTCTAATCACACTTATCTGGCCACATCCTAAGTTGGCCATTTATTGCTCTAATCACACTTATCTGGCCACATCCTAAGTTGGCCATTTATTGCTCTAATCACACTTATCTGGCCACATTCTAATTTGGCCATATAAAATCTTCTTTAAATGATTATTCTAGCTGATGTTAGATATTATTCCATAACAAGTCTTACCCCATCAAATTCTTTATTGATGTCAACAACTTGTAAATCAAGCAAATGACGAAGAGCTTGAGAAAATCCCAGCCTACAGATGCCAGTGAGGATTGCTGATGTTTGATCTAACAGAGACTTTAGCTCCTGCAGGCCAAATTCATCCCTACAGGTCAAGTGGTGAATCAGACTTTGTTGGTCAGCTTTGTTTAAAGATTCCAAAACCAGTTTGGTTCTTTCTTCCATTGAAGCTGAGAGGAAATCAAAGTTTAAAATAACCTATTAAATAGTTTTATAACACACCAGAATATATTTTACAGCACTCACTAAAGCGATACAATACTTCATTTTCTATACTACTCCAGACCAGAATACCATATTTAGTGTCCATATATCAAGTTCATGTTCAGTGTCCATACATCAGGTATAAAGAAATTTTCTTTGACTTAATGCACTATGTCCATATGTGGATATAAACTGACAAAGTGAAAATGTAAACTAAAAAAAACCCAATCAAATTTCCTTCTCAAGTGGTGTTTAATTTAGGCAGGTTGTTTTGGGGAAGGTTTCTTGTAATGAACTGTCAGTTTTGGTACAATACAGGGTTAATGAAACTGTCAGTCAAGAGACAAAAGCAATGTGAATGTTCCTTCAGTTAAAATGAATAACTTCTTTACTGTTGGCCCTCTGTAGATTGTGTTAATGTTATAGATCTACTGACACACTTTCATCACAAGAGACTGTCATTTGTTTATGTTTACTAGTGTCATCATTCATAGTGTGTCCTACAACCGTCAGTAACTTAATAATATGGCTTGCCCCCCCCCCCCCTTTATTTTAAAGAGTAGGACTACTAATTATAAACACATTTACATCCAGAATCTATAATCTATCTAGATCTATATCCTATGTCTCTATAAAAAGATTTTTTTTTCAAACTGATACACACTAAATGTGTAAATTTTATAAATTAATCTAAATTCTAGATCTAGATCTAGGTCATGACAAATAGTAGTCCACAAATAGCCTACACATGACAAACGTTTTGCCAACATTTAAATGACAACAATCCAACTTACCATTCAAGTAGACCTAAGTAAAGTAGGCCAACTACACAGTCGGAAAACAAATTTAAATCGACTACTCGTCACATACTCGTGTTAAACTCATGTTTGTATCGCGTGCGTCTGCTGAGATCCACTCCATTTGATAGTTTATGCTTGGATATTACTTCCTGCTTCTATAAATAAACATACTCTAGTAACTTTGTTTTCCTGATTCTTTTGTAAAATTCCCACGTGAGCTAAAATTGAAGAAACCTTATAGATCTGGATCTAGTTTTAGTTAGTGCCTCGACAGGAATAGACGGATACACAGGTCTTGCGTGTTACCTGCCTGTTGACAGGGCCTATTCTTGGAAATCACATACCGTTAACCTCGTTTTAGTTGCTGCAGGCTACTCCACTCTACCGAAAAGTAGTTTTACAGTAGCAAGATTGTGTTACGGTTAAACACGTTATGATAAATATGAATGAATGATTGTGGTGTTAGCACCAACTACACGTGTGGATCGCCTCAGAAGAATGTGTCTTACTCTTGTCTTGGGTCTTAGATTGAGCAGTGTACATGATACATGAATGAGTTAACCGAGCACCACGTGGTCACGTGCTTGTTGTATTGAAATCGGTATTCTTATTTCATTTTTCTCGGCCCATTCAGAGTTTCTTCCAGGCATCTCTTGAAACACTGAACCTGTTACAAGCCTAATATACTTTAATATAGTAAATATACGAACCCCGTGATCTGCCAGCTACATGTACATGTAGGTCTGTCTCATATTTCCACTGTAGGTCTGTCTCATATTTCCACTGTAGGTCTATCTCATATGTCCACTGTAGGCTGCCTCTTCTACTGTGTTATGTTTTTTAGCTTGTGAAAATTTTTCACACGTGTTGTATGATCGTTGTGTTTTTGTATAAGGATTTTTGTATTGTGTTGTGAATTGCCTACACATGTGACCAGAGTTTCTTCCAGGCATCTCCGACCCCCCCCCCCCACCCCCCAAAAGAAAATCTACCGCCCCTTCCCCCCCCCCCCCCCGAACGAAATGGAATTTACATAGAAAACATATACTTTTACCAGTGTCCGCCCCCCTCCCCCGAAAATATCAAGTGCTTCCCTCCCCCCCCCCCCCCCCGTAGAAAAAAGTCTGGAAGAAACACTGATCTCATTAGACTTTATACAGCATACGGTATGGTGACATTATTATTCAGGGACGAAGTATCCATTCAGTATGCCTCCCCCCGAACGAAATAGAATTTATACAGAAAATACATAGACCCATCGGTATATATATATATATATATATATATATATACATATATATATATAAAGTTTGAGGGGGGGTGTAAATCGAAAGTTTGTCGCCGGTTTATATACTGCTGGAAAAAATTTGAATCCCCCCCCCCCCCATGAGACGATCCTGGCTACGCTACTGGTCCACCCCGTCCACCCCCTTGATGATGCTCGTTAGCTGGTGCCATAATAAATTCAGCAGCTGACAAAAAGCATTGGAGCATCGGTTTTCCTAGGTAGTGTAGACGAAATGGACGTTAGGCACCTACTAGATCTAACACGTATCTGCAGCCAGGGGCGTAGCGAGTGGGGGGGGGGTGCGGACCGCACCGGGTGACACCATTTAGGGGGGTGACACCAAGGCAAAAAATAGCAAAATACATAGAGAAAAACTTGAGGGGGGTGCAAATCGAAAGTTTGAGGGGGGGGGGGGGTGCAGATCGAAAACTTGAGGGGGGGGGGGGGGGTGTGCAAATCGAAAGTTTGAGGGGGGGGGGTGCAAATCGAGAATTTGAAAGTTTGTCCCCGGCTAGGGTCGCTGCGCCTCTGGGGGGGGGGGGTGACACCATTAAGTGCCGCACCGGGTGACACCCGACCTCGCTACGCCACTGTCTGCAGCATTGGTTAAATGTATGAGAGCTATTAAAGTGAACCATTTAATTTGTTTCTCTCTACAAGTTCAGCCAGTATATCATATCTGCTGGTCGTGATATAACCTACCCAGCCATTATGTCTGTTAGACGTAACCTACCTGCTATAACCTACTCAGCCGTCTGCTAGACGTAACGAGCTATAACCTACCTAGGGCGTGACTCAAGTTATTTAATACCCCGGGCTTATATTAAGCAGTACAGTACTGGCACAGTGGCGTACGCCTGCAAGGGCGGTAACTTGGTGACAATAAACAGGTATCGATTCACACAAACAGGGGGCGGAGTGACTGAGGTACGTTTTACATGTTGCTCCTGAATCTGGTAAACAGTGGCGTAGGCAGGATTTAGTCATGGTGTGTGTGTGGGGGGGGGGGGGGAAGAGATTCTTGTACACGCAACATTTATTATACCAGCAACTGTAACGTAACGTTAGGCAGCTCTGATTAGGGGCTACATGGGTAGCTCTGTAGCACCCAACATCTCACTTGAAGTACAGTTTTAACCGACAACCATTGTCAAACTAGCCCACATTTCTTCCCTTTATCATTGGACTTTTCCATTGCCCCCTCAACCTATCTGTGTCCGTCCGACAATACAACATGCCGTGTATGGAGCAGAGCAGTCAGCACTAATACCACACAATTACCGTTGCATTCTCAGAAGCAGAGTTCCTAACTGACAGTTTACCTGAAAAACATTAATGGACATGACAGGGAACTAAAACCGTGTCCAGTTTGACGGACTGACTCGAAGGTCGACATAAGGAGCCCTAGCTCGTGTATGCTTTGTATACGTTCGCCTATTGTTATATTTGTTTGTTCGTCTTGTTTACTTGACTCGAGTTTTTTCGTCAGAGATTCTATGGATTATCTCCTCGCTGGATGCCATGTAACAAAAAATTTAAAGAATGCCAAGGCATGTTTTAGACCTGATGTCACACACTTGTTATATGAAGGTTTTAGACCTGATGTCATACACTTGTTATATGGTTTTAGACCTGATGTCACACACTTGTTATATGAAGGTTTTAGACCTGATGTCACACACTTGTTATATGAAGGTTTTAGACCTGATGTCATACACTTGTTATATGAAGGTTTTAGACCTGATGTCACACACTTGTTATATGGTTTTAGACCTGATGTCACACACTTGTTATATGAAGGTTTTAGACCTGATGTCACACACTTGTTATATGAAGGTTTTAGACCTGATGTCACACACTTGTTATATGAAGGTTTTAGACCTGATGTCATACACTTGTTATATGAATGTTTTAGACCTGATGTCACACACTTGTTATATGAAGGTTTTAGACCTGATGTCACACACTTGTTATATGAAGGTTTTAGACCTGATGTCACACACTGTTATATGAAGGTTTTAGACCTGATGTCACACACTTGTTATATGAAGGTTTTAGACCTGATGTCACACACTTGTTATATGAAGGTTTTAGACCTGATGTCACACACTTGTTATATGAAGGTTTTAGACCTGATGTCACACACTTGTTATATGAAGGTTTTAGACCTGATGTCACACACTTGTTATATGAAGGTTTTAGACCTGATGTCACACACTTGTTATATGAAGGTTTTAGACCTGATGTCACACACTTGTTATATGGTTTTAGACCTGATGTCACACACTTGTTATATGAAGGTTTTAGACCTGATGTCACACACTTGTTATATGAAGGTTTTAGATCTGATGTCACACACTTGTTATATGAACGTTTTAAGACCTGATGTCACACACTTGTTATATGGTTTTAGACCTGATGTCACACACTTGTTATATGAAGGTTTTAGACCTGATGTCACACACTTGTTATATGGTTTTAGACCTGATGTCACACACTTGTTATATGGTTTTAGACCTGATGTCACACACTTGTTATATGAAGGTTTTAGACATGATGTCACACACTTGTTATATGAAGGTTTTAGACCTGATGTCACACACTTGTTATATGAAGGTTTTAGACCTGATGTCACACACTTGTTATATGAAGGTTTTAGACCTGATGTCACACACTTGTTATATGAAGGTTTTAGACCTGATGTCACACACTTGTTATATGAAGGTTTTAGACCTGATGTCACACACTGTTATATGAAGGTTTTAGACCTGATGTCACACACTTGTTATATGAAGGTTTTAGACCTGATGTCACACACTTGTTATATGAAGGTTTTAGACCTGATGTCACACACTTGTTATATGAAGGTTTTAGACCTGATGTCACACACTTGTTATATGAAGGTTTTAGACCTGATGTCACACACTTGTTATATGAAGGTTTTAGACCTGATGTCACACACTTGTTATATGAAGATTTTAGACCTGATGTCACACACTTGTTATATGGTTTTAGACCTGATGTCACACACTTGTTATATGAAGGTTTTAGACCTGATGTCACACACTTGTTATATGAAGGTTTTAGACCTGATGTCACACACTTGTTATATGAAGGTTTTAGACCTGATGTCACACACTGTTATATGAAGGTTTTAGACGTGATGTCACACACTTGTTATATGAAGGTTTTAGACATGATGTCACACACTTGTTATATGATTTTAGACCTGATGTCACACACTTGTTATACGAAGGTTTTAGACCTGATGTCACACACTTGTTATATGAAGGTTTTAGACCTGATGTCACACACTTGTTATATGAAGGTTTTAGACCTGATGTCACACACTTATTATACGAAGGTTTTAGACCTGATGTCACACACTTGTTATATGAAGGTTTTGGACCTGATGTCACACACTTATTATACGAAGGTTTTAGACCTGATGTCACACACTTGTTATATGAAGGTTTTGGACCTGATGTCACACACTGTTATATGAAGGTTTTAGACCTGATGTCACACACTTGTTATATGAAGGTTTTAGACCTGATGTCACACACTTGTTATATGAAGGTTTTAGACCTGATGTCACCCACTTGTTATATGAAGGTTTTAGACCTGATGTCACACACTTGTTATATGAAGGTTTTAGACCTGATGTCACACACTTGTTATATGAAGGTTTTAGACCTGATGTCACACACTTGTTATATGAAGGTTTTAGACCTGATGTCACACACTTGTTATATGGTTTTAGACCTGATGTCACACACTTGTTATATGGTTTTAGACCTGATGTCACACACTTGTTATATGGTTTTAGACCTGATGTCACACACTTGTTATATGAAGGTTTTAGACATGATGTCACACACTTGTTATATGAAGGTTTTAGACCTGATGTCACACACTTGTTATATGAAGGTTTTAGACCTGATGTCACACACTTGTTATATGAAGGTTTTAGACCTGATGTCACACACTTGTTATATGAAGGTTTTAGACCTGATGTCACACACTTGTTATATGAAGGTTTTAGACCTGATGTCACAAA